GGATGGATGAATAGATAGATACACGGACGGATAGATATACTGATAGAACAATAGACAGACAGATAGACAGACAGAACAATAGATAGATGAATGGATGGATGGATGGATGGATGGATGGATGGATGGATGGATGGATGGATGGATGGATGGATGGATAGATAGACGGATGGATAGATATACTGATAGAACAATAGACAGACAGAGAGACAGAGACAGACCTTGTCGCAGTACCAGCCAGGACTGACCCCTCCGTTATCGTGTCCAATGGTGACTCGGCTGAGTGGACTGAGCAGCGCTGCGATCTCCACGTTGAAGATGTCGGTGAGGCCGCGCTCAAACTGTCCTCCCTCCAGGAAGATTTTCCCGCTGTTCTTCATGCCTTTGGATCCGTGCATCACCATCTGAATCTTAGAGTTCGTCCCCGCACCCCTGACGTTTCCCGTCACCACCTGAACATTATACACTATCCCTGCAAAAACACACCAGTAAAATGTGTGTGTCTCTGTGTGTGTATAATATCTGAACATTTGTGTTGCTGATGTCGTCGTCTTCTTGCTGTTACAACATTGCTGTTTTCATAAGGAGAACAAGTATAAACTGCTGCTTTAATGAATCCAGTATAGATGTAGTTGAGATGTGCATGTTTACCAGTGGGTTGACTGCCTCCCACCAGCACATCTCTCTGAATCTTCCCATCATCCTCATCCAGAGCAAACCAGCGGCCGATGGGAAACTCATACACGGCTTTATTTCCCAAATCATCCACTATCACCTGAAACAGACGCGGGTTACTGTAAATAAGCCACTAGTTACAGTTACTAGCTACTTCTCATGAATAGCAGCAGACAGAAAGATATACAGACAGACAGACAGACAGACAGATATATTAACAGACAGACAGACAGACAGACATATTAACAGGCAGATAGACAGACAGACAGAAAATGAAACAGACAGACAGACAGACAGACAGACAGGCATATTAACAGGCAGATAGACAGACAGACAGAAAAAGAGACAGACAGACAGACAGATATATTGATATCAAACAGGCAGACAGACAGATATATTGGCGGACAGACAGACGTATTGACAGACAGACAGACAGACAGACAGACAGACAGACATATTAACAGGCAGGCAGACAGACAGACAGAAAAAGAGACAGACAGACAGATATATTGATATCAAACAGGCAGACAGACAGATGTATTGGCGGACAGACAGACAGATGTATTGACAGACAGACATTTAGATATACAGACAGACATATTGATAGATAGACAGACTGACAGATAGACAGACATTTTAAGAAGCAGACAGATATATTTACAGACAGACAGACAGACAGACATGTATATATACAGCCAGACATATTGATAGATAGACAGACAGAAAAACAGACAGACGTATTGACAGACGAAGACAGACAGAAGGACAGACAGGCAGACAGACAGACAGACAGACAGACAGACGTATTGACAGACAGACAGATATATTGATATCAAACAGGCAGACAGACAGACAGACAGACAGACGTATTGACAGACAGACAGATATATTGATATCAAACAGGCAGACAGACAGACAGACAGACAGACAGACAGACAGACAGACAAACGTATTGACAGACAGAGAGTCAGACAGACAGATAAATATATTGATATCAAACAGGCAGACAGACAGACAGACAGACAGACAGACGTATTGACAGACAGACAGATATATTGATATCAAACAGGCAGACAGACAGACAGACAGACAGACGTATTGACAGACAGACAGATATATTGATATCAAACAGGCAGACAGACAGACAGACAGACAGACAGACAAACGTATTGACAGACAGAGAGTCAGACAGACAGATAAATATATTGATATCAAACAGGCAGACAGACAGACAGACAGACAGACAGACAGACAGAGGAATTGACAGACAGACAGACAGACAGACAGACAGACAGAGGAATTGACAGACAGACAGACAGACAGACAGACAGACAGAGGAATTGACAGACAGACAGACAGACGTATTGACAGACAGACAGACACATATATTGACAGACAGACAATATATTGGCGGACAAACAGGCATATTGACAGACAGACAGACAGACAGACAGACATTTAGATAAACAGACAGATATATTAATAGACAGACAGGCAGACATATTAATGGGCAGACATATGTATTGACATAAAGACAGAAAGACAGACAGATATAATGATAGACAAACAGACAGAGAGACAGACAGGCAGAGAGACAGACAGACAGACATTTAGATATACAGACAGACATATTGATAGATAGACAGACAGATAGACACATTTTAACAGGCAGACAGATGTATTGATAGGCAGACAGACAGACAGACAGACAGACGTATTGACAGACAGAAAGACAGACAGACTGGCAGGCAGACAGACAGACAGACAGACAGACGTATTGACATACAGACAGGCGTATTGACAGACAGACAGACAATTAGACAGATATATTGATATCAAACAGGTAGACAGATAGACAGATAAACAGACATTTAGATATACAGACAGATATATTGATAGAAAGACTGACAGACAGACAGACATATTAACAGGCAGACAGACAGACAGACAGACATTTAGATATACAGACAGACACTGATAGACAGACAGACAGACAGACGTATTGACAGACAGACAGACAGACAGACAGATATATTGATATCAAACG